ATTTTCATTTTGAGTGGTGTAGTAATTTCAGATTTATTTTAGTTAAATAGTATAAAATGAAATTTTATATATTTGTAATGTATTTACAAAATTTTCCCCCTTCCAAATTTTCCTTTTAAAAATTTAGTTCTGATATGATGCAGCCCGTATGAGAACACGGGTCTTTTGAACCCAATCGAAGCCCACTTTCCATCGAGACCCAGCAAACTCCAATAATGACATAACCAAAAAAATCTGATTCTCCAGATGTAAAGTCGGTGCATAGCTACGGCCCACAGACAATCCAAAACCATTGTGTATAAATATGTCCATCCCCAATCCCATCCCAAAACTCTGCATTTTGGTTCTGCCCCACAGTCTCAATTTGCAATTTCTGTAAGTCCACACAAACCTACACAAAAGTCTCACCACCCTTATGGAATCCATCGCGACCATCGTCTCCTCCCCTTTTTCTCCCCCAATTTTCTCACCCAAATTCAAAGATTCTTCTCCCCGTCGTCTCATCCGTTTCTCCGCTCCCCCCAAAAGTAAGTTTCCCAAGTTTACCTTTTTAATCCACCCCGTTTTTCGATTATCCTAATTTCTAAAACTTTTTTTTGCCTTGTCAGATGACGGGAACGGACCTGATTTCAAACCGGACTCCACTGAATCCAGCCTTGTTCCCATCCTCAGCAATCGTACCCTCTCTAAGGTATTTATAATTGGGTATCCTCAGCTTTGTATAGTTTTGAAAATACTAGGGTTATTTTTAATTGGGTATTTAGAATTTAATTGGTAAGTTGTACAAATTTTGAAGATAAAAGGGTGATATTGGTTTGGTGTTTAGCATTTAACTATAAATTTTTAAGATATGAGGGTTATTTTTTGGTTGGGTATTTAGAATTTAATCGGTAAGTTGTAAAAGCGTTTAAGATGATTTTGATCGGGCATTTAGAATTTAATGGCATTTGTTTGAAGTTCGATGATACTTGGTCTAGAATTGGATTTTAATTTGTATTTTGCATAAAATTTGAGGATAAAAGGTGGATTTTTTTATGGGGGGTTTTGGGTACTTTTTCTTGGCAGGATGCAGCAATTGGATTGGTATTGAGTGCGGCCAACGTAAGGGGATGGACAACCGGTTCGGGCATGGAAGGTCCAACGGTTCCTGCTGGGTCAGAATCTCAATCAATGGAGCAGGTATCTACCTTCCCATGGTCTCTGTTCACCAAGTCTCCACGGCGGCGTATGCGTGTGGCATTCACATGCAACGTCTGTGGTCAACGCACCACTCGCGCAATCAACCCGCATGCCTATACCGATGGTACCGTCTTCGTACAGGTATTTATATGTACCTGCATATATTTATGAATGTATACAAGTTTGTTTAGCTTTGTATTCTAATTAATGGAGATGATGTTGTTTTTGTTTCTTTT